TTGAACCTATATGGGATACGATATGCATAGTAAAGACTAACTTTATTTATTCATATTGGATTCAATTTCAAGGGAAAAGAAGAAACCAGATTGCACTAAGGTATGTTTGGTATTACGAAGACAGACCCATTTATAGTTATTCAGGAGCATCGCCGAGAATTGGATCTCATTGAATAAACTTAAATACTTTAAGCATAGCACAATACATTTTTCAGTTATTGATAACAGAATTTAAAAAAACGCTTAGTAATTAAAAGATAAACCCAAACAGATTCAATCAGCATGATACGCAAAAAGATTTGCTAAAACCGAGGCTACAATATTGTGTGAAGTAGTCCTAATGAATGTTATATGCTTGAATGATTGCACGTTGAGCAAAGTAAAGTCCAGTTGGATGGATCATTAAAATTTTGAAGGATCTGGGCAGGAGGCTTCAAATCATGGTAAAGACAGCGTAAATGTTATGTTAACGACGCATTGACCTTGCAAAATATTTAATGGAACCCCCGTGCCATCCTGTGTACCGAATTCAAACTAATAATCATTATACATACATTACGAATTAACATTACCATAGTTCTATGTGGAACTGTATTCTATCTTCTATGCAATAATGCCAAACCTAGGATCTTCAGAATATTATACAAATAATATATATGGTTACACTGTATAAATATAGCCTACCCTCATACGGACCGGTACTTGGCCTTGGGGGACAGGATCGATGTTTACAATAATACAATCGTGGGACTTAACCAATATTTCAACGTGATCTAATGTTTCAGTATACAATGAAAGTCCTCTATACCGGCCGCATTGTCCAAGCACTTTTAGGCCGGTATAACGAGACGCCGGTATGTACTCTATACCGGCTTTATTAAGTAATTGTTAAAATTTTCAGTATAAGCCGATAATGATATAAATCATTATAAAATGTAATAACATATTATAAATGACTTCTATAATGGAAAGAGAATTAAAGAAATTAATACATGTAATGTAAGGCAAACATTGTGTTAAAATAATTACACAACTACGAGTTTCTAAGTCTTGAAATTATAAGAAATATAATCTCATTCTAGATAAACCTTGATTGCCAAAATGCAATCGTACTTATACTGTTTGCGAGGAGTCGTAGAAGACGCACGATAGCACATGCTTGTATAATTAGAGTTACATATATACGTTAATATACCGTTTGATAAAATTATTGGGATCGTCATTTTGAAAGGAATTCTATATGTGGGTTTCGTCCAATTAGCGATGGGATTATCTGCGTCCAATCAAAACATGGGGAAAATTAGTAAATGCTTTGTGGGGTTGTTACCATATTTCTTCTGATAACAATGGCTGCTATAGGTATGTTACGCCATTTGTTTAAATATATTATTGTAGTGCTTAATTTCTTTATTTTTGTTATTTAAGAGAAACTCATAATACTTTTGGTTGGCTCCGGGGGACGTGAGCACGCACTTGCTTGGAAATTGGCACAGTCGCCGCTCGTTGAAGCTATATTTGTAGCACCCGGTAAGCGATCTATTAAAAGATTCATTTGTGAATATATTCAATTTTCTAATATTATATATACTCTTAGGTAATGGAGGTACTGCAAAAGGACTTGACAAAGTTTCAAATGTTAATATTGGTGTCGGTGATTTTTCAAAATTAACAGAATTTGCGTTGAAAAATCAGGTGAGAACGAAAAAAAATTTTTTCGAGGCATATTAAACCAAATTTCGCGTATTATTTTAATAGTATTCATTTTTATTTGAGCTTTTAGGTGAATTTTGTTGTTCCCGGACCCGAACAGCCATTAGTTGAAGGCATACAGTCAGTATTTAAAAAAAGCAAGTATTTTTTCTTTAATGTTATAAATACAATTCACGTTCAGAACTAAATTATATTCACTTGTTGATAGTCGGAATTCCGTGTTTTGGTCCCTCTCCTCGGGCAGCTATGATGGAAGGGTCCAAAACTTTCTCAAAAAATTTCATGAAGAAGCATAACATTCCAACAGCGACATATAAAGTAAATTATTGAAAACATTTATATTTTAAATTCACATTAATTAACATTTGTATTTGAACATTGCTAGAATTTCTCCGATTACGAAAAAGCAAAGGCATATCTAAATTCAATATCTCATAATGTTGTAATCAAGGTGATTATCTGAATATATTATCGTGATATAAAAATTTACAATCGATTGATAGTTCAAAACCCTTTAGGCTTCTGGTCTTGCGGGTGGTAAAGGCGTATTAATTCCTACTAATAAACAAGAAGCTTTTGAAGCTTTGAAAGAACTAATGGTTGATAGAGCTTTTGGAGCGGCGGGTATGATGTGATGGGAGTTTATAGCAAAAAATTACAATACAGGGATGCACACACCTGACGCTAATAAAGTAAACTTATAGGTGATGATGTAGTCATTGAGGAATTTCTTGAGGGCCAAGAATTGAGCGTTTTGAGTTTCTCGGATGGATATACAATAATTCCACTTCCTCCAGCTCAAGACCATAAACGTATCTTTGATGGAGATCTGGTTCATATTTCACATATAATTTATGTAATAAATCGAAAAAAATGGCGAAAGTCTTATATTAATTTCGTAGGGACCTAATACTGGTGGTATGGGATGTTACTGTCCAACTCCAATCGCTACACCCGAATTGATCTCAGAAATCAAAAACACTATCCTTATACCCACTATAACTGGGATGAGACAAGATGGTGAGATATTTGAAAGATTGTTCATTAATAAATTTAATTATAGTTAAAAAGCATTCTTTTCGGTTATGCAATTATTTTAGGCTTTCCATTCGTAGGGATGCTCTTTACGGGTTTAATGATTACTTCATCGGGACCGAAAGTGTTAGAATATAATGTTCGTTTTGGGGATCCTGAAACTGAGACCGTCTTACCCTTACTAAGCGAGGATACAGATCTCGCCGAAATTATGCTGGTACAAAATATTTTTGCTACTTTAAGTAATCTAAGAAATTAAGAAATTGACTATTTCTTTAAAGGCTTGCACAGAGGGAAGATTAGATTCTGTGCATCTCTCTACAAAGCCTGTTTTTGCCACAACAGTTATAATTGCTGCAGGAGGCTATCCTGGCAACTATTCAAAAGGAAAAGAAATAACTATTCACAATATTTCATCTGGTAATATAATGTTAAATTAAAAAGCACTATTCATTGGTTGTAGTTGATGAGACTTATTCCATTAATTCACATGACAGATGCGTTAATATTTCATGCTGGTACAAGTATTCTGAATAATAAACTTGTCACATCAGGCGGTCGAGTTCTTGCCGTCTCTGGAGTTGCAAGTACACTGAGGGAAGCAGTAGATAAGGCTTATGAAACCGTGAAGCTTGTTAATTTCGAAAACATGTTTTATAGAAATGATATAGCTCACCGGTAAAGTTTAATCATGAATTTTCTTTTTAACTCGCAAAAATCACGTTTATTAATTTTAACTATACATAGAGCCTTCAAATATCTCACCGAGAAATCAATTGGAAATGATGATAATCATGTGATGACTTATGAATCCGCCGGCGTATCCATAGATTCTGGAAATCAGTTGGTAAATCAAATAAGACCATTGATAAAATTGACAAAACGACGCGGATCGATTTCTGAAATCGGTGGTTTCGGTGGTTTGTTTGACTTGAAAGAAGCTGGTTATGATGATCCAATTTTAGTATCAACAACTGATGGTGTTGGCACAAAATTAAAGATTGCCCAGGCTATAAATAAATTTGATACTATCGGTTGGTATGAATTTATATTGTTCATGTGTTACGTATTTCATACTTGGTATCATCTTCCCCATCATCTTTTCTTCAGGCATAGATTTAGTCGCTATGAGTGTAAATGATCTTCTTGTACAAGGTGCAGAACCCTTATTCTTCCTTGATTATTATGCTTGTGGCAAATTACATATTGATGTAGCCAAGGACGTGGTAAAAGGTGTGGTGGAAGGATGCCTTCAGTCTAATTGCGCCTTAATTGGGGGTGAAACTGCAGAAATGCCGGGTGTTTATAATGTTGGCGAGTATAAAGATTGGTTACTCGAATTTCTTCTGTTTAAATCAATAACCATCTTATATTCTTTTATAGGTGAATTTGATTTAGCCGGATTCGCAGTTGGCGCTGTTAATCGAAAAGAGATTCTTCCACGTACTCCCGAAATCCAGGCTGGTGATCTACTTCTTGGTCTCTCTTCTTCGGGCGTTCATTCTAATGGATTCTCGCTTATTCGTAAAGTAATCAATAAATATAATCTCGAATATACGTCGCCGTGTCCTTGGGATCCAAAAAAAACTTTGGGTGAAAGTCTACTTACGCCGACAAGAATTTACGTAAGGCAATTGCTTCCCGTTATTAAGAAAGGACTTGTAAAAGCAATGGCTCATATTACCGGAGGTGGATTTGTAGACAATATTCCTCGAGTTTTACCTGATAATATTGGCGCTATTATAGATACGAGTAAATGGACGTTACCTGAGGTTTTTAAATGGATGGCGCATTATGGGAATATTCCATATGGTAACTGTTTCAGACTTTGTTATTGGTGGTTTGTGCTTTTTCTTCTCTTAACAGTGAATAAATTATAGACGAGTTATTCAGGACATTTAATTGCGGCATTGGAATAGTACTTGTTGTATCTCCAGAGAATATTGAAGAGACGACTAAACTGCTTCAAAATTTTGACGCCCAAACAGTTAGCATTGGCAGCTTAATAAACGTGAAGGATAATGAAAGGCGAGTTACATTGAAAGGAATCAATGATAATTAGTGAAATAAGATTCGATTGAAGAAGCTATTCTTTAAGATATATATTATAATTGTGAATTTGCTATTGAAAGATAGTTACAACAAAAATTTGGTTCATAAAAATTATAAATCAATCCCTTTAAGAATATATTAGCTTAGGGATGTGCCAGAAATTAGTTGATTATCAGCTTTTTATTGCGCTAATTATAAAATATCGGTTAATTTCTGGCATATTCCTTTAAAAATAGATATAAAATACAATTTTCTTGATCTTTTGACAATTTTTGTAATAAAAATTTCGTAATGACAACATTAAATTACATATAAATAGCTTGTTAGATGTTTCAAATTGAATAAAATTATTTCTTATAAATTGTTTAATTATAGTGCGAAGAGTCATGATAAAAATGTCGAAAATTCTGATCTCTAATTTTTCTGAAATAGTCAAATATAATACAAAT